TTTAAGATCAGATGTAACTTCTTGTATTTCCATTGATTCCAATTAGTTCTCTCATTAATTTCAAGGATTCAATAACAAAAAGACATTGACCACAGAAATATCTATTTTTAAGCATAACTGAAATTAGACTCTTCTGATTTTGAAAGTTTATACATGCCATTGATTTTTTTTAAAGTTTCCAGATGAATGCAAGCTCTAAATCTGTCTTTAGCACATTTAATGATGTTCATCAAATTTCAACCTTAAATAGGTATCAATAAAACTATCATAATACATGTATATATACATATAAGCTGAATATGATATTAATTAAAAATTGCTCTAAAATGGACAATTATGCTAAATTCAGAATAGCAAAATCAAGTACCTACCATTATAAAGAAAAATAAAGGTAAATTAAAACTTACAGTGTATACATGTATATGTAACAAGGCCTTTGATGCAAATTTAAGCAATAATATACCGACTTGTGAATTAAGGTTTTAATAAACTGTTACAGTAATAGCATGCTACTAAAACTTGACTTTTGAAGCATATTTTTGTTAGGGTCATATCGATATATAGGAAAACATTTTGCTGATTGTGAATCCAAGCAGTGCATCAATGTACTATGAATAAATAAGTCATACCCATAAATATGTTAGATATTTTGAAATATATAGCCCATTAAGCTTTCATTTTGCATGAACTAAATTTTAGGAACATGCATTACATTTATTCAAATGTTCAAACACTGAGACATTTTAAATCGCTTTTACAGCTTGAGATGGTAGAGAATCTCAATTTGTAGATGTGTTTGTGTATTTTCTGAATAAGTGTCCTGGTACATTATAGAATCTCCCTAGGGCAGACATCTCAGTTGCACTGGGATTATCATCATAACTTTATGAATAATTTTTACATTTGTCTGACTTTTGCATGTTGATCAATACTGGATTGAACCCTGTAAATTGAATTTGAATTCAATTTCTATAGAAACCAGTCCTGTCCAATTAAGGTTTTTGTGACCATGGTTAAGTCTCAATTATTTCAAACGGTTCATCCTTTTCCATATTCTGCCTGCACCCCTGTACAATGGAGGGGCTTTATCTGTCAATACCGCATTGATTTGTGTCTGGGAACAGGTGTTCAGTGATAAACATGAAACTAGACCTATTACAAATCATAAGTCAATACAAACTCACAGCAGTACAGTCTCAAATTTGCTACTCGACAACTCAAATTGGCAGGTGTCAGTTTTTCATCGTAGTCTATTACTGTTTGGACTTTGAATGCTTAAACATCATAGAAAGGGGTCCTTTGGCTTAAGATATATTTTTCTAAATTATAAGGTCAAAAGGTCAAATGTCAGGTCACATAATTTTTTTTTTTTGTATTTTAAAGGTACTTGGACACAGATATGAAGTTATTATTTTCTCTATAATATTACGACATATATTTTAATAGCATTTCACACAAAAATTAATTAAAAATCTTATTTCATTTAAAAGAGATTGAAATTTCAAATTTTTCGGCGGGTTTGATTGACATATCCTTGCACTTTTACAAATTTAATTTTATTCTTAATCCTTAGGAAAAGTGGCAATCTCGTTTTGTATAAATGAAAAATATTAATACTATAATCCAGAAAATTCAGAGTAGACATGTTCGAAAAGAAAACAAACGCACAAAATATTGTCAGTCCGTGCAGTTGTGGTAAGCAGACTGTGACGATATGAATTCTAAATATAAACAATTCGAGCCCTGTTTACAAAAACTGTGTACATAACACGAGTGTGCTCGATTTGCTAAACTCTGCACGCATCTCTTAGTTCGGAATGACGATACTTGTGAAGATGTTTTGCTTTCTAACATTTCTACTCTGAATAAAATTATTTTTCTTGATTAAAAGTTTTAATATTTCTCATTAATACACATCAAAATTGCCACTTTTCCTTAGTTAAAATTTGTGAAAGTGCAAGGATGTGTCAATCAAACCCGCCAAAAAATTTGAAGTTTTAATAACTTTTAAATGAAATAAGATTTTTAATTAATTTTTGTGTGAAATGCTATTAAAATATATAATTCGTGATATTATACAGAAAAAATGAGAAAATATTAACTTCAAATCTGTGTCCAAGTACCTTTAAGGGCTACTGCCAAGCATAATATAGCTAAGCAAATATAGCCCTTTTAGAATGATGCTCATGCTACTTATGATAAATAAGAGACCTCTGAACTTCAGTTCTACCTGTGAAACATCTCCTTCTTGGGAATAATGCAAAATTCTTAATTCATTGAGTTGGGTCACTGAAACACTATTTGTGTGATGATGTACTATAAACATTTGCGAATTTAAATACTTAAGGGGGTTGGGTTGGGTTACAAACTTTTGATATATTTATTTTGAAAAAGCAAATTAACTTATTTATTCTAGCTGATTTATGCCATTGGTTTTTTTTTTTATTAGTGAAAAGCTCAAAATGGGTACAGAACGAAGTTTTTAAATAAAATACTAAAACCCTGCAATTGAATGATCAAAGTCCCATCTTTTTTGTAGGAAATCAATGTTTTGACCTTTTCATTTGAACTCCATTAAGCCCAAGATAACTAGCATTACAGGTGTAACTAATGGTAGCTAGCACTTCCTGGATACCGGTAGCCTCAGTTCTGACACCCTAATCTGGGAGCTGCATTAGACTGACAGGGTTAATCCAGCATCCACCTACAGGAATGGTCCCCTATGTATATTTCCTGTTAAAAACACCTAAGAAATCTTTATAAAAAAAAAATGAGGTGAAATGAGAAATAAGCCATCATTTAAAAAAGAAAAAAACTTAAAATAGCAAAAAGGTGATTGCATGGTTTTTGAACCATGCATGCAGCAATGAATTTCTCATTTTAATTTTATCAAGTTAAATGTTAATTAATTCAAAATTGATTTTGTAAACATTTTTCTTGAAGTCATGAAATGTGATACGTACACATATAGGAAATTGGAAGTTTCTAATATCATTCAGGTAGTTCAATGTAGTTTTTATATATACAATGTCTGTGATCACTACATTCTTGAAAGAGGAAGCCTTATTAGTCACTCAATTGAAAACCCAGTCATAGAGTGTATTCTTCAAGAATTTAAATATTTCAATACGAAATTGACACTCCAGCTTGCGGGTAAATCATTAAATACAAAGTTGCTGGATTTTTTAAAAAGCAAACTCAAAAACTCATTTGGTAAACAAAGTCTATACACATCCATGTTGTGAATATGTGACGTGCGGGCCTGTATAGGATATTACGACTTAATAGATTTTTATCGCATAAATACCTAGTATTTATCTTTTAAACAAACAAAGGCTGTTCTAAATTGGAACCAGGCACAAAAATGTGTTTTTGTTACAGTCTTTGAGTACATGATGATTGTTGATGATTAGTTTTGAAATATTGAACCGAAGGTTTCTTACCAATTGTTCCAAGGACATGCCTAAAAGACAAGATGCTTTGTGGGAAATACACAAATATTTGTTTGATAAATAACTACTGCAGTATGCGCCCATCAAACTTGGCAATGGATTTGTTTGGAAAATTAACATGAATTCGTTTTGTCGATTTTCTGATTTCTTTTTTGGACACGATGGATTACCAAGATTCAGGATCCCCTTTGTCTGTAATGGCCGTTCAGGCACCAATTCACCATGGTAACCATTTTCTGGACTTCTTATATGTCAGGACATTTGCAGAGCTTAATCATCTGTAAAGATTTTTATAATATTTCTATATTGATCCATATTCTAGATTCTTTAAAAATGTCAAGTTCTTTTCAATTTAAAAGCAAACTTTTTAGGATGATAATTTTTTTTGTTCTGTTTAGCCTTCCGGTTAATGTCCTAATATAACCAATTCCTTGAGAAAATTAACTGTTTTAATCTCTTCTGGATATTCAGCTGCTGGATTTTTTTATAAGTTCTTAATTAAGATTTAAAAAAAAACATTGCTGTAAATGTAAGAGCTGGTAGCTATGTTTTATTGAAGACAGTTGAACATACTGAATTTAGGTCACAGAGCCAGAGACCTGCTGTAAATGTTGACTCAGTCAACATTCATAAGATTCAGTTAATAAACCAATGTTAAATAACGGAGCATTATTAAAACCGAACAATGGAAGAAATCGTACCAAGTTTCCCCGTTACTTAACACACTTTGGCTTTGTAACATTTATGCTGAAGAAGTACACTATTCAAACACTCCTCCATACCAAACAGTGGTGATAAGGAAAGGGGCTTTGCCTTTGTATTCTTAAGAGAAATGAAATAAAAATTGAAATTTTTTATCCATCAAAATGTATTGTCATTTCTGTCAAGAAACCACTATGTTGTAGGTTTATGAATGGTGACGCTTAGAGTCAAATGACTTGCTTGCCACCTTTGGTGCACTGATTGAAGCCCTATTTGTATATTTCTTACCAAGGTGTTTCAATTTGTATGCTTTTTGATAAGAGTTTCGCACCTACGGTGTAGATAATTAAATTCTTTCTGCAGGAAGCTTGTAATTCGATGTATTGTTCAAATGATAGATCTTAGTGATACATAAATTCCTAATTCTGTATTAAGTCCTCGGTTTTAAACATCTGAAGATTATTTTTGAGGGGTACCCAATGCCTGTTTTAAGATTTCCTACAAACAAATGTGCATGTTTTTTCATTGCAGGTTTATAAATGTCTGGAGCTTTCAATAACTGTGTTCTATTTACATTTATTAATCTTTTGAACAAATGTTTTGTAAATTTCCCATAACACTTAATTTTCAAATGGAAAAGTTTTGAATGTATTATATTTGATTTTTAAAGAAATATCATGCATACTAGGGATCAATTCAGAATAAAAAATTACATTTCTTTGGTTACAATAATGTTCTTCTTCAAAACTTTAATGAGTTAAACTTTGCATGAAACCAGTCAATTTTGTTGTATTGGAATGCTAACTGTTATATAATCTAATTAATTAAATTCCTTTGTTTTTGTAGCTCGACCACACAACCATGACTTCGGAGAAACAGAATCAAACGTGGGGCCTCATCATGGGGCATACGGGAGAAATAGGGGAATGTATGGAAGTAACGCATTTCACCCAGGGCGGTTCTTCCACGGAACTCAACCACATCGACGCTGGGCGGGGACATTTGGCCACGCCAACAGAAACACTTACTTACCAAACGCTGATAACATTCCACTCAAGCCAAAAGTTGTCACAATAGTCAGAAATGGACACAAACCACGAAATAATGTGAAAATTCTCCTCAACAGGAGAAGTGTACAGTCATTTGAGCAACTTATGGCCGACATTTCGGAGGCCTTTGGACCAAAATATAAAAACAACAAAGTGAAGAAACTGTTTTCAATTCGTGGGAGGGAAGTTCAAGGAATTTCGGACTTTTTCCGTGATGATGATGTGTTTATTGGAGTGGGCACAGAATCTCTTACTGATTCAGACATTGTTGATATTGTGGAGGAGGTGTATCCAGACAGCTCAATGGCAAAAAGTGTTCTCCGAGAGCTGGAGAGAAACAAGCGTAAACACAGGAACCTTGCAAAACAGACACAGGCCGATCACGATGCAGACAAGCGAGACAGTGGCTTTGGAGAAGGGAGCGATGGCAGCAATAAGGAACAGGAGGGAGATTACGTCCTGTATAAGGGCAGGCCTCACGAGAAGGGTAAGCGAAGACATGACTATCCCAAGGAGTATGAACTGGCTGGGAAGTTAGAACAAGAGAAAGATAAAGCTGTCCAGGAGGAACGAGACAGGACAAAGAAGAGGCAACAGAAGATGATGGAAACAGAACGAAGGGCCCTAGACGAAGAGAGACGGAAGAGAGGACTGGTTCCCAACAAACCAGAGGATCCCTTCAAGAGGATAAAGGAACAGAAGGAGAAGGAAAAGGAAGAAGCAAGGAAGAAGAAGGAGGAAGAGAGACTGAAGAGGTTGGAGGAGGAAGAGAAGGAAAAGCAGAGGAAAGAACAGGAAGCAAGAGAAAAGGCCATCCAGGCTGCCAGAGAGAGACAGGCAGCTGCCGAGAAAGCCGAGAGGGAGAAGGCAGAGAAAGAAAAGGCAGAGAGAGAAAAGATGGAGAAGGAAAACAAGGAAAAGGCTGATAAAGAAAAGGAGATAAAAGATGCTGCTAACAAAGACAAGACTCCAAGAGATCAGAAGGCAGAAGCTGTCAATAAGGAAAAGACTCCCAGGGATCAGAAGCCAACCAAGGAGAAAACAGACCCAGCCCTAAAGGAGAAAGAAAAGGAGAAGGCAGAGAAAAAGCGAAAATCAAAATCTAAGATTGTACGCAAATCTAAACTGGAGCGGCAAGTGAGCAGTGATGAACACGTTACTAATAAGTATGACTTAGGTCGGACTCTCGGTGATGGGAACTTTGCTATTGTGAGACAGTCTAAGTTAAAGTCGGGTGGTGGTGAATATGCCATGAAAGTGATAGACAAGCCCAAACTAAAGGGCAAAGAACACATGGTGGAAAACGAAATAGAGATTATGAAGGACTGTCACCATCACAACATTGTCAAGTTGTATGAGGAATACGAAACATCAGACAAAATCTACCTAGTCATGGAGCTTGTCAAGGTAAGTCATTTACATTTACTTGCATAGAACTCTGGGACTGAGTTGTGAAACATTCTATACAATTTAGTACTATTCAACTATTCAAGAGGGTCATGGTCATGATTTTATTACATTTTTCAAGGAAATTTTATGTTTAAGTAATAAAAAGTAATTAACAGAGAGGAGTGAAATAGTCCAATCCACACTTTGCAATAGTTATGTCATGTCCTTTTGCGGGATCAACCAAAAGGTCAAAAGGGAAAGCAATGACATTTCTTCTCTTTATGCTACTAAACATTTGGGCGTGCTACGATAAATCCACTGTGTTTAAATTTTTTGCTTTCGATATATGGGTAGCCCCATCTTGGAGCAATCATTATACAAGATGCACATAATTTTTCTAGTCAAATGACAAAGTTACAAACCAAAAATCTATTAAGGCTACTGTGAGGATTCTATGGGTTTTTCCCCAAATATGGCGGCCAAGGGACATAACTTTTGAAGTGTGGATTCAACTATTTAAAAGTTGTTGCTTTTATTGTATCTCTCCATTTTAAACATTGTCTTAACACTTGTTTGTCCTGCAGGGTGGAGATCTGTTTGATGCCATCACTCAGAGTGTCAAGTTTGGAGAAGTGGATGCCGCTCACATGGTCAAAGATTTGTGTAACGCTCTGTTCTACCTCCACTCTCGCTCCATTGTCCACCGTGACCTCAAACCAGAGAACCTTCTTGTAAGTACACTAGAGTTTCACTGTATCTTTCTTTGAAGATGGCACATTTCAATGATTATTTTTACCTTTTCATATAGATATACAATGTACATTTTGTCAAGCAAGAAACCAGATTTTTATTCCAATAAAAATTAGTTTTCAATCAAAACCAAAGCTAAAGAAAAACCTGCTGAATACAGGACTTCACCCGTTTTCCACATTGTTTCTTTCACCCCTTATGCCCCCTTTTAACATATTATCCCCTCTTAAGGAATATGAATGTAATGGATGAATTTTACTTCTACAGGTACACAGAAACAAGGATGGTTCCATATCTCTAAAACTGGCCGACTTTGGATTAGCTATGGATGTAAAGGAGCCTATTTATACAGTGTGTGGGACACCTACATATGTAGCTCCAGAGATCCTGTCAGAAATAGGTATAGCACAAAAATCAAACTCCTAGGTTCTCAAAACTGATTTTCTGAGTTTATGGATCATTCTAGTTTTTGTTGGTTGATTAATGGAGGGTTGGGGACATAAGACTTTATTTGAGAAACAACTCTTTCAAGTTTTTGATGTTCATGAAAGTTACTACATATATATATATCTACATGGTAGATCCTGTGCAGGAAAAATGCAGGAAAATATAAATTTCGAAAATTTTCGTGGTTTATTTACAAGTACATCATATACATATTATAAATAAAATTAAATGATGAAATCAATTCTGGAGTCTAGAAATTATAAAATAGTCTCACATGACTTACACATTTGTTCAAAGGCTGAATAGGCCTACTATGTATAGGTTCATTCAATGTATTAACAGTAATGCACAATTAAACTAATAATTAGATGAACTTTTAATTTTATGTAAAAAATTGCGTCTTCCCCCACCCTTCCCCCACAGTGTTATGGCGCCATTTTGAAATGCGTTCGATTTTCGATCCCGATAAATATTTTGATTTGTAAATCGCATACATATATTTTTGTGTTTATGTTATAATGTGGTAAAAGGAGTTAAAACAAAGGTACTTTTTTAAACTGTAATTTAATATAATAGTCCACCGCCGCATTTCACCGAGTTCGTCTCATGGCACTAATAATCATGCTAATGTAAACATGGATTATCACATTCCCCATGAAAGTTAATTTCTTTGAAGTAACATATATATATATCTACACTACACAGTATTTGTTAAAAAGTGCATGGGAGAAAATTACCAGAAAATTTGTACATGTTATTCACACACCGTGGAGCTGAATTACTTGTAAATCTAAGCTGTAAATCTAATCTAAGAAAACTATTGGATGTACATGTATTTCTTGTGCCAATATTATTTTTGAAACAATAGAAACAATCATTAAATAAGAGGAAATGACACTGTATATTTAAGAAATAAAGTCCGCATTTTCTTGAATGTTGTTATAGTAAGATAACTTCATACGTAGAGAAATGTTGTTTGTAATATAAAAGCCGAGGCGTTTATTGTTGAGACTTTTATATTTTAAACAACATTCCAAGACCGAAGGTTATCCTGCTTCATTCACGACAACAAGGACTTTAATTCTATTCTACTAAGAGCTCTAAAATATGGCTAATAGTTTCTTTTATAGAAAAACGCATTATGTCACCATGTCTCAATTACGCTGTTCCATTTAACACCAAAGAGTATAAATTTGTTCGTTTACTTCGCATGGAAGGCAGACAATTTAAATTTTCACTGCATTAAAAATAGCTTTTCATTTATTATAGATCTGATTGTACCATAAATTAATTATATCTATGAATGTACAATAAAAATCAGTTTTCTATTTCATTGCTAATGTCACTAAAATCATGAAGTTAAAATATGGTGTAGGTAGGTCCATGGAACAGCCCCACTTAGCTATAAAAACCTACATTCTTCAGCTGCTTTATGCAATTTACACAGTGTTTTGACTCTGAAAGATGACACATCAATGAGTCTAAATAAGTACATGTATTTCATTTGAGAGTCAAATATTTATTTCAACTGTACAGGTTTGATATGTGTTTCTGATCTGATAATTTTTTGATGACGTTCGTGATTTATTAGAGAATAATGTGCGCAGCATTTCTTTGATCTTGACAATAATTGTGGTAGAATTGAGCTGATACACTTCAAATTAAAGCATAACTCAGAGTCTTAACATTGATCAGTTAAATTAAATGTAGATTTTTTGCATAATTTGCCAAATTGTCACACTAAATAAAAATCTTAAGTATGATACTTACAACAATCTTTTTAACTTTATTGATTAGTATGTAGGATACTATAGTATGATTATTGTTAACAGGCTATGGATTGGAGGTAGACATGTGGGCTGTGGGGGTCATTACGTACATTTTACTGTGTGGATTCCCTCCCTTCAGAAGTCCCGATAGAAACCAGACAGAATTGTTCGAGTTCATCAAAGCCGGGGAATATGAATTCCTAAGTCCGTACTGGGACAACATCTCACCATGTAAGTGCATATAAAATCATTATACAGTAAAACATTGCTTACAATGAAGTGCCAGGGAAGGGCAATTTTGCTTCAATATACACATAGTTCTTTATGCTGTAAACCAATTTTTATTCGTGTGTGAAAAATTTTTGTGATGTTCGTTAGAGCCTAGTCATCACCAATATTTCTCACCGCGAACTGGTCCTTAAAGTCTCTGTGTCTATTAACATCAGATTCAGAATGGCTTGATTGCAAAAGTTAATCATTGTGAACTAGTTAACCAGTGGTAAATCGTGAAATAAAGTCGTCGCGAATAAAAGTTGGTTTATAGTATTTCTGTTAGCTTTTATAGTATATTTATAAACTCACCGGAAATGAAAATCACTATAAGTGGCAATTCATTATAAGCATGTTTGCTATAAGCGTGCCTTAATTAATACTGTATATTGTTATTTTCCTAACCTGATATCTTTAGAAGAACTGAGGTTTAGCTCGAATTAAGACTTAAAAGGATACTGGTTATTATTGCTTGGAAGATCAATATGAACAGCAAGCATTGTAATCTGAGAATTGAGAACTGGAGGAAAATATCCTTATTTTCTATCTTTTTTCGGTCTTAATTTTGATTACCCTGGTACAATGGTGTATCAAAAATTTATTCGAAACCATCTGAATCTCAGAATTGATTTTGTGTTTTAATTTCAAGTCAATGAAGAATGTCAGATGGGTAAAGTTCAGTCATTTATAATCATACTGTTTAAATATCATACATCTTTTATTATAATCAATTTTTGAAATGCAAAACCCTTTCATAATTATTCAGTGTAAATTTCTCTGAATGTCATAGGGAAAAAAATCTATGAATGTTTGAACACTCAAAAGATCATCACACCTGCAAATTTATTCTGCAATACATCTGAATCTAGATTTTAATTTCTTTTTAAGTCCAATATAGAGATTGTCCAATTTAAACAAATGTATGTACCGGTATGTTTTATATCCAATCAATTCTGATATTTCTGACTTCAGATGCCAAAGATCTGATAGAGCACCTGTTGGTGGTGGACAAGAAGAAGCGCTACACAGCCATAGAGACTCTCTCGCATCCCTGGATTTTATGTAATGGTGATATGTCACGGCCACCAGATGCCAGCAAAATAGAGGAAATGAGAAAGAATACCCGAAAAGAACTAGAACTGCAGGCTAAGCATAACTATGACTCTTACCATAAACTCAAGGAAAAACGAAAGCAGGAACAACAGGCGGGGTCGTGATCCCTGACCTGTAATCACCATAGTGATGACTGCAGTGTTGTGTAGCCATAGCAACAGAAGTTTGTAGAAACCATTGATTTTTTTCACTGTGCCAAGTGCTGTCAAAGTATTCATATAAAGGACAGCAAACAAATATTTTCTGTTTGTGGACATTTTCTTTTTATGACAAAACTGACTAATTTTATTTTTTTTTTTTTTAAGATTTTGCATCGGGTGTAGCATTGATACTAGTTTGAGAAATATTACTTTGTATATACTTTTCATGAAAAAATCCCTTTGTTCTGAGAAGGGTTGTGCTAAATATGATTTGTTTTATTGAATTTGATATTTTCTATGTCTATTATTTTATCAAATGTAGATCTGTGATATGGGAGTATAATAGTGTTTTCAGTGTTTGTTTGAATGGATGCATGTTGAAAGTATCCTTTCCTGACAGTTTCTTGCAAGTAGATTTTTACAGTTAGTGAATGTTGAAAGTTTTTAAGTTTAATTGTTGAGTTTTTGTACATTGTCTGCCTGAAACATGATATTAAATTACACATTTAAGGTAAACTGTGGCAAAAAGAGCAGAATCTAAAATAGAATAGAGGAAAAGAAATTCAGATTTGTTTATTCACCTGTATTCAGAAATAGAAATTTATTAACATGATTTTGGTAAAAATGAGTGCAACTGAATATATGTGTGTCATATGTATTTTATGAGGAAAGATCATTATATATGTATGTAAATTTTCAAAGTCAGAATTGTTTTATATAAGTACTATTTTTATTAAGTCCGTCCGCATTAACTTGTTAAATGTGTGGTGTTTTCAGCCAGTTGTTATGTTTTTGTTACCTGTTTTTAAGTTTTTTATTTCTACATATACTACAACTGTCCACAATGGCCTCTACTTTTAGTACCGTCCAAGAAAAGTACTATACTTTGCTATGAAAAATAATTTTTCATTGACATTTTTGTGACACATATTGTTTATATTTATATTGATTTTTTTCCTCAATAAATAATTGCTCTCCCCTTATGCATGTTATAACTGGGGTATTTGCTACCGTAGAGTGTACATTTGTCTCCCCTTAACAGAATTAAACTGTGATAATTTCAAACGAACCAGCTTTTATCTGTTAGTTAATTAAAATTTGTTGTTATTATTAGCATTATAAAATATTTTAACAAAAGATACCATAACTGATCATTTTATACATATATCTGTTACATTGCAGCTGTGCTGTTTATAATTTTCAGTGTGTGTATTCTCATGATGCTATAATTTCCAATTTATATTTTTCTTGGATTCAGACTGAGTACCAAATGGAAAAAGTTTTTCTCCTCAGTTTGGGTTTTATCTTTATAGATAGGGGGTAAATATTTGACTTGCTTGTAATTGAAGTACATAACTCCATCTCTGAATAGACATATACTGTATAAACTTAATAGATAGAATTGGGGATTTCAGCATT